GAGCACATCCGAAGCAACATCATCGGAGATATCACAACCTTTGGTGCGGACTTTGGGCGAACGGAACTTGGTCATGGTACGTTGCTTGAGCTAAAACGCTTATCAAGCGGACACGTTGCGCGATTCTCTTCGCAGGTCTTCGGCGAAGATCCGAACTATGCGACGCCGAGCCACGCTTTTAAAAACGATCATCCTACACCACAGGTAGAACCTCGTGTAAAAGAAAATCCCAAACTACAACATCGATTTTTTCTGTTCTTTGAAGAATCCCTTGATGTAGGAGCCCTGCTTTCAATAATTCTTTTGTCTTCATCTCCTAAGCGAACCTCGAACGCGAAAACCTTCAAGATAAAAAACATTATTTGATCATTTGAAGAATCTGAGCCTCTGGGCCTGTCCGGACCTCCGTTGGTCCGGACCTCCACCGGTCCCGACCCCCCCCCGGCCCGGACCCCCTGGAGGATCCCCAGGGCCCAAGGCTCCCAGAACCTCCAGGACCCCCAGGACCCAGGACCTCGTCGTTGGACCCCCATCGTCGTCGTCGGCGGCGGCGGCGGTCCACTAGAGAAAGAGACGTGGGGGCAACCAACTCGGGGCGGATCCAGCCGTGACCGCGGGGGCGCCCAGGATAACCACAAAACGCCACCAAAAGCCTCGCTCCTTGCTCCTCGCTCCTCCTCGTCCTCCTCTTCTTCTTCCTCCTCCTCCTCCTCCTCCTCCTCCTCCTCCTACTCTTCCTCCTCCTCCTCCTCCTCCTCCTCGTCGTCCTCCTCCTCCTCTTCCTACTCTTCCTCCTCTTCCTCCTTCTCGTCCTCCTCCTCCTTTTGTTTTCAAACTGGGTCGTCGCTTACGCAGACGGGGCGCCCAACGTCGCGCCCGACCTATCGGACCGAACCGAACTGGACCGGCCAATCGAACCGAACCGAACCGGTCGGACCGAACCGCGCGAAGACCGGAACCGAACCGAACCGGCGGCAGACCCAAACCGAACTGGCCGAAACCGAACCGACGTCAAATCGAACCGGCCAAGCAAGACCGAACCGGCCCTGCTACAGAACCGGACCGAGCCGAATCGAGCCGATCCTTTCGTGCTTATGTGCACACAGTTACAGGCGTACAAATATTCACGCTGATGTACACATTTACCAATATGCAATGATGCATGTATGTGTATATATATATATATATAGAGAGAGAGGTGCGCGCGTGCATGCGTGTCTGCACGCATGCACTGAATTATCGGCATCTACAAACCTAGACGCATACAAACACGCATCGCCGCTTGGCAACATGTTCCTCGGCTCTTCAAGTTTCGCATCCAGGCGGGATGAGAGAGAGGGGGGGGAAGAGAGAGAGAGAGAGAGAGAAAGAGAGAGAGAGAGAGCGAAATAAAGAAAAACAGCCAACAGCGACTCAACAACTATGCATATAAGGAGAAATATACATTTACATATACATACATAAAGTGAGCATTCCCTCGACGCGGATCTCGCCATCTGTGATTTTCGCATTCATGGCGCGTCTCGCTGAGGGGCTCAGTCTTTGAATGTGCGAGCGCGAAAGCGAGGTCCGCGCAAGAGCGACGATGACTGCGACGTCTTCCCCCCCTGGGCATCATTCAGCACAGATTGGGGGGGCCGGGGCGGGTCGGGGCAGGCAAGAACACGCGACGCGGAAAGGGGAATATTTGGCTCGTCCCTCCAGCGAGTCTGGCTCTGCACTAACGTGAATGCTGCCGTCGGCACTTGCCGTCGGGCGGGGCCGTCCGCGCTTGGCATCGGGCCGAGCGGTCTGGCGACTGCCGGCGCTCGGCGCCGAGCAGGGCATGGCCGGGCGCGAGGCGAACTAGGCGGGGCGCGGCTGGGCGGGGGGGGGGCTGAAACGAAGAAGCCGTCACCGCTTGGCATCGGGCTGGCAGTCAGGGCCCGCTCGCGCAATCGCAGCGGGCGAAGGAATTGGGCTGCTCTTCTGAGCCAGCTGCAGCAGGGCCGCCAGCGCTTGACATCTGGCCGCAGACGGCTGAAGCGGATGGCTGCTCTTCTGGCGGCGCTGGCCCGTGCTCCTCGGCAAGCAGAGCGGCTGTCGTCGCCGTCGACCTCTCGGATCTCTCCTCGAAGTGGCTTGCGGCCTCAGTCACCGCCTCCGGCAGACCTCGTTCCCATGGCTCGCGAGGGGGCGGCCGCGCCAGCGGCGTATCCGAGTGGCGTGGGAGAACGTCGCGTGGATGTTCAGCCGCCGCGCGTCGCCGTCAGCTCCGCGCTGCCCCCCGAGCTTCTGGCGCGCCCGGTCGGCCGGCGCCGCGCCGCGCACCGTCGGCCCCTGCGAGGCCGTCGTCGTCGAGTAGTGGGCGCGCGAGAGCACGGGGTCGAAGCGCTCCGCGCTGCGCGCCGCGGGCGGCGCGCCCCAAGCGAAGGTCGTCTCCGTCGGTGGCGCGCGGGACAAGCCGCGGCCGATCCCCCCCCCGTTGCCCGCGCAGTCCACGAGCGCGCCCGACGCGGGCGCCTACTTGAAATCGTCGACCTGCCGCCAGCTGCCTGGCGGCGCGCGCCGCGGCCTGGGGGCGTGATCTCGCCCGGGCGCGCGTTGTTGTTGCCCCTCGGGGTCGCCTGGGTGGAACGCGAAGTCGACGATTGTGGCCCGCTGCTCCTGGGCGAGGCCGCGTTTTCCATTGAACTCGCCAACGGAGCGAACTCGCGCCCCCGCGCGGGCGGGGGGGGCGCGCCGCGGATCTGGCCTGTTCGCTAGATGTTGGCCACGTTTGGCACCCCAAGGCGCGTCGCCTTGCCCTCGGCGGGGATGGCCCGGCACTCGTCGGCGGCCTGCAGGAAGACCAAGGGCACCTCGCGCACGCGGGCGCCTGGCCGCGACCTCTTGGCAGCTGTCTAGGTGATCTTGCGCGCGAGAGGCTCCCAGTGCATAGCCGGGCCTCAGTCCTCGAGGAGGTTATGCTGCGCGTGCCGCGGGCCCAATTCAGGGCCCGCGTCGGGGCTGCTATCCGCTGCAAGCGTCGCGTCGAACGCCCGCCGCGCAGGGTCAGCGGCCCGCTTGCCCCGGCACGCGCTTCCCGAGAAATCGACGAGGGGATCGCTGGGCGCGCAGCGTTTGGCCCCGAGGAGCTCGACGACGCAGGTGATGATCTTGAAAACCTGGAGGGCGTTCTGAATATCCGGGGCTCGCGGCTCCGAGAGCACGCAGTTGTCGCCCCCGTCCTGCGATCTGGGATCTGTCGCCAGGCTGAATGGCGCAGCCGGCGCCACTTGCAGGAAGTCGGTGGTTGACGATGGGGGACCTGCCAAAACTGCGCACTTTCTTCTGGTAGGTGCTCTCCGTAACGACGTGGGATTCCACGCGCCAGTGCATGGCGCGAGGGTTCAGCATCATGTAGTTGCCGGGGGCACTATGCTCACCTTCTCGATGACGAGTGTCCTCGCGTTCTTCTACCGCTCCTCGAGTGCCTTCGCATTGTCGCCTGGGCGCATCTTTGCGCTGACAATTCCCTGGGCGCGCGTGCCCGCGGCGTTGTTCCGAGTCCGCGCTGTCCACTCGGCGGCAGAGGTGTTCTTCGCCTGCGCGCTGGAAGACAGCGCCGCCGACGTCGACGGGAACGCGGGCGTCTCGTTGGGCCAAATGAATTCCACCGCCTTGAACACCAGGTTCTGCACCGCGCGCGGCTTGCCCGTGCCCCCGTCGCCGGGAAGGGGCAGGTGGGGGCCCCCCCGCTGCTCGATCGGCAACTTCCCCTCCTCCTCGATTCGGACCGTGCGACACCGACGGGCGGGCGGCGCCCTCGGGGGCGCTGACAGAATGACCGACGCGCCGAGCGGCGGGGCGCCCAGTTAGGCTGCAGCGCGGGCCGACGAACAGCGCGCGCGGAAAGGGGCGCTGGGCAAGCAGCAGGGGGGGCCCCGCCACCCAGGCGCCAGAGAGATAGGGGCGCCCCAGTGGAGCAATGCTCGGCGTCCTCCAAGAGGGAGGGCGCGCGCCAGGGCGCGGGGGCCAGGCCGCGATGTGGGTGCGCCAGGGTGCGTCAGCAGCGAATCGCGCCAGGGCCAGAGTCGGTTCCATGGGGGCCCGTGGCAGTAGAGGGGGCGCCCGGCGTGGCCGTGGCAGTCCCTCCAGGTGGGCGGGGGGGATCAGACGCACTGGGGCGGGGTGAGATGCGGGAGTGGCCTGGCTCTGACGGGGGGCCGGGGCCTGAAATGCCGCGCAGCCCAGAGGCGACAGCGGCGGCGGCTGTCGCTTGCGGGCGCGGCGGGCCCGGGCCAGGCGGAGTCGCTCGACGAAGGCCTGGCGTCCAAGCCTGCTGGCGACCAGAAGCTTCGCGGCTTGGGATCTCGTGGGAGGCCTCCCAGAAGAGTGCGTCGGAACCCATCAAGATCCACGCAAGGTCCCAAACATCTCATAAAACCGTTGAGGGTAAAGGGTTGAGGAATGCCAAAAAGTCCCAGTGTCTGCTGACTTCGAGCATGTTCCGGAAGCCGATCCAAGAACATCGTGTGCCACGTGCGCGCGAAGCCTCGAAAGGCTTATTGGGGGTTCGTGGGAGACCTCTCGGAAGCACTGGTCTGGGGCATCTTGGGGCCTGCTGGAAGCATGTTGGGCCATCTTTCAAGCGTCTTGGGGGACTCTGGGGGCCTCTTGAAAGCCTTTTGGAGGGTTGGCCAGCAGCGAGAACCATTGAAAAACCGATGGGGAATCAATGATTGTTGCTCCGTGGGGCCGCCCCCTTGGGGATCCTCTCGAAGCCTTTTCGGAGCATCGCTAGGGCTTCTGGAACCATTTTGAGGCAATGTTGCACCGTCTCCAGCCGTGTCAGAAGTCCGCAGGGCGCCCAGGTGCATCTTGGATTCCTCTTGAGGGTTGGCTGGCGCTGTCGGCGTTTGTGGCCCCCCCCTCTCTTGTGGCTCTCTTGGTGTCGTGGGCCATCTTGGGGGGTCTCCTGCCTGGGCCATCTTGGGGCCCTCTTGTGTCGTCCTGGGGCCCTCTTGGGCGCCTCGTGGGCCGTCTTGGGGCGGTCTTGGAGGCTTCAGGGGCTGTCTTGGACGGCCAGCAGCTGAAATCATTGAAAAACCGATGGGGAATCAATGATTGTTGCTCCTTGGCGCCCCTTGGGGATCCTGCCGAGGCCTTTTCGGAGCATCGGCGTGGCTTATGGAACCATCTTGAGGTAATGTTGCGCCGTCTCCGACCGTGTTGGAAGCCCGCAGGGCGCCAAGAGGCCTCTTGGATGCCTCTTGGGTGTTGGCTGGCGCTATCGGCGTGTTTGGGGCCCCACTCTTGTGGCTCTCTTGGCGTCGTGGGCCATCTTGGGGGTCTCATGGGCAATATTGGGGCCCTTTTGTGCCGTCCTGGGGCCCTCTGGGGCGCCTCATGGGCCATCTTGGGGCGATCTTGGAGGCTTCTGAGGTCGTCTTGGGCGGTCAGCAGCTGGGAAAAGCAAGAGCGGCAAGATTTTGAAAGTCCGGTTGGAAATCAATGATTGTTGTACCTCGGCGCCCTACTAAGGGTCCTCTCGAGACCTTTTTGGAACGTCGCGGGGGATTCTGCAGTTATTTTTGATACGATTTCGGGTCGTATCCAGGTGTGTCGGAAGCCCGCAGGGCGCCCAGAGGCCTCTTGGATGCCTCCTGGGGTTTGGCTGGCGGTGTCGGCCTCGCCGTTTCGCTGCCGATGCGCTTCCGAGGCGTCAGCATTACTCCCAGATGGCCTAAGAGATTCCAAAGAGGGGCCCAAAGACGGCCCCAAGAGCGCCCAAGGTCCCAAGAGGGGCCCAAGAGGCGATGATTGGGGTTCCAGAGGGGCGGGGCTGACAAGGGACCCCTCTCTGATCGATGTCATCCAAGATGCCCCATCACGGCTCCCAACAGGAGCCCAATAGGGCCCCAAATGCATCCCACATGGCCCCAAGAGGGTTCCATGATGGCCCAAGGAGGCTCCCATATCAAAAAATCCGAGAAGGCATTGGTGGTTGTCTCCTGGGTCTGCCTAGGCTGATCCCGAGCTTGGCTTGACTGCTGCTCGTGCTATTCCACTGCTTGCTCCGGCACTTCCCTGTTGAAAGCAACTTGCCCGGGCATCGTTTTGAGATGGGCGGGGGGGGGATACGCGAATCGCAAATACTGTTGTAAGTCAGGTCCCAAAATTCAATTCTGCCGCGCACACCTTCTCATTCGCGATCATCCCGCCAAGAAGCTTCCATCAGCCCCGAGCGCGCCTTCAGGATTCACACATACCTCCTTGGGAACCTTCAGAACCCGCTGATGCTGCTCGTGAACCCTTCCACTGTGGCCCGCGAGAGGGACCATCTCTTCTTGGATTACGGTGTTCTGGGACAACGAAACGGTGTCTCCACTCGTGCTGGGTATCCACCTCCCTCGCAATTCTCATCTTTGACGCCTCTTCGAAACCCACGAGCCTGACTGGGGACAGACACAGTTTAGTACCTACTATATCTCTGGGGGCAGGCAGTGAAGCACCGAATGGCGATCTGGATTATCTTCTGCCCGATTCGTACTGGACTTCCCTTTACCCGAGCAATGGCAGGGTACAGGCATGACTCGAACAGTGGAGTGAAGACAATGATCGCGATCGCATCTGCGATGTTGAAAAAGGCCCCGTTCAGCTGCTTGCCACCCAGCAGCGTGTTCATCTGGCACGCCGAAGCGGGAAACGCATTGTTCATCGCATTGTACGACAGGTTGAAGCCGATGTTTACGACTATGAGCAGCGGCACGATAGCCAGAGCTTCCCTAACCTCTTCGGCACCGAACTCATCATCATCATCGTTGCGATTCACACTCTTCGTGCCTGGCATGTCCTTGATGTAATTCGTGTTGAGGTTGCCAAGAACAAGGGTGATCACTGACACCGTGCCCGTGAAGAGCGCAAGGTTGTTCATCGTGTCTGTTGTGCTCCCACCGACTTCACTGGCGGCAGCAGTCGTAGTGACTGCCACATTGTCGAGTACGCACGGATCTGGTGGAGCGCCACCGCCGCCTCTGGATGGTGCAGGCATCAGCGCTGCGGTCATGGTAACCAGGAAGAAGACAGGCAGAAGCAAGAAACCGATCACTGTGAACCAAGCGCGCCAGCCTCCACCGTGCGTGGTGGAGTAGCAGATATGGGACACCAGGGTCTTGAAGGGGCCCAGGCCGCCTCCAGGAACCTTCAGGTACCCCGCGCTGAAGGAGACGAAAAGGCCGATCGCGAGCAGCATGAACAGTGCCCCGATACCATATGCGAAGAAGTACCCCTCGCTCCAGTCCACGCCGATGTAGGGGGCGCCCTGCGTCGTGGTGTTTGCGAGGTAGCCGAACGCAATGAAGACTCCGACGTTGATCATCAGATAGAACCAAGAGAAGTAGCTCTTCTGACACTCTCTCTGCTCTGGCGATTCGTCTCCGATCTGATCGGCGCCGAAGTTGGCAATGTTCGGCTTGATCCCGCCAGTTCCCAGGGGTATGAGGACGAGCGAGCCGACCATGAAGACTGTGGACAGGGGCTGCTGCAGCTCCCTGATGGCGGCGATGCCCACCATCGCGGTGCCGGAGCAGTAGACGAGGCCCGCCGCGATGATCGTCCTGTATCGCCCAATGCTGTCGGCGAGCAGGCCCCCCGGCAGGCACCAGAGGTAGCACAGCATGCTGAACACGGAGTTGGTGGCAGCCGCCTGCGAGGCGGGCCTCTTCATCTGATTCTGTAGGTAGGTCTTTTGAGTGCCGGCGATGGTGTAGTAAGTCACGCGCTCGCACATCTCGACCAGCAGGATCACGATGATCGACTTGATGGGGGGCTTGGTCTCTTTGCCATCGTTGTCGGAGTCGGAATCAGAGCTAGAGTCATCGTCCGCCCGTGGGTTGGTGCTCGTCACGGCGACCTTTGGGTACGAATGTCATGAGCTACAGTGCTAGCGTGAGCAGGTGCAAGACAAACGGTCAGTGGCAATCGGTCTTGTCACTATCGATGGTGCCAGAAAGCGGAACTGAACCAGTACATCTTCAGCTGCTGCTCTGCGTTGAGGCCCCCAAGGGCCATCTTGGTTTGTCTGGCTCACACGAGTCTTAGGCCCGAAAGTGGCCCTAAAAGAAACGCAAACAGCCCCAAGAGCGCCCCAGAAGAGCTCCAAGAGAGCTCTGAGGGTCTGAGAGCCGACAAGAGGACCCCGAGATGCAACAAGAGGCCCCAAGTGGAGCTCGATTGTGGCCTCTCCGGGTCATCCACCGAAGCTTCTCAAGAAGCTGCACGGAAGTTCCCAAGATGCTGGGAGGCTCCAGGCAGCATTCCAGGGAGTGAAAAGCGCTTGTGAAACGAAAAGCGTTTCCCAAAACAATGCTTGCATCCAGGCGCCAAGGGACTACTACCTGTGTCGGACGGAATCCCACCAGCCCTCCAGGCGTAGGCGGTTGAAGGCACGACCTCTTCCAAAACATCCCCTCCTTCCCTCTCGGGGAGGGCTGATCACTGCGCTTCATGAGTGACCAAGTCCTCCTCGACTCGAGCCGACCCCGGCCAATGATCCCCCCCACCCCTTCATCCATATCAAAGTCAATCCAATGTCCACAGTGGGGCACACACTGGATCATGCGAGCAGGCGCCCAAACAGTTTGCGTTGGCTTTTGTTCAGTGGCGGCGTGTGCGCAGCGCTGGCCCGCCGTCCCTGTCAAATACAATGTGATTCAGCGCGCACAGACCATACGCGATGCTGACCACCCCGCGTTTGCTCGAAACTCGATTCTGACAGGGATGGTGGGGGGTCTCGATATATCGCCTGATTTGCGCTGCCACGTGCGCTGCCACTCTGCGCTCGTCGTGCACGTGGCGCGCTCCGTCCGCAACACGTGACGCACCTAACCTGGCGCGCCCGGACGCGCCCCGGCATGCCCAGGCGCAATTGGGCACCTGGGTCCTGGTGCGAGTGAAGCACCTGGCACGCGTGGCGCACCTCGCGAACGTGGCGCTCTGGGGAACGCATTGGTTCCCGACGGCTGTGCATCAGGTGGCGACCGTTGGCTATGCTGGGTCTCGGGTGCCGCTTCTGTTTTGGGAGGGTTGGAGTGAGCGAGACGGCCAGTTGCGTTCATGTCGGGAACTTGACCCCTCCACCTATCCCTTCTCTGGGAGTCTGGACAGTGGTTCTCTGAGGGGGTTGGGTGTCCAATCTGGCCTAAGATGGCTCCAATATTTACTCATATAGTTGAAGATGGGCTCATGGATATAGTGGGATTGCCCATATTGGCCCAAGATGGCTCCAATCAAATGTTTCTCAGGCTCCACAGAGGGCGCCGCTAATTGAAGTCCTGCCCCTTTGAGGCCCATGGCTTCCATGATGACTCCAAAAGGGCCTCACAGGATCCCAAACCAGCTGAAAGAGCCTCAAGAGGGCCCCAAAGGTTTCCCAAAGGTTCCCCTCCAAAGTCTACCCAAGAAGCTCCCCGACACTCCGAGCTGTTCATTGTTGGGGCTCTCGTGGGTCCTCGAGTGGACCGTTCCCGGAGGCCGCTCGGGCGGAGCCCAGCCATCGATGTTGCTGTGCCCCCCCTCTTTGAGGGGCATCGATCGGGGGGGCCTTGTACAGGGGGAAACATCGACCTGGAATCGGCGACACATCGCCAATAGGTCGGCGGTAGCGAATCCACACGTTCGCGGGGTGGAGCTATCAGACCGCTATCCGCGATCAATGGGCGATTGGGGATAGATGCATCCCCCCCCTATGCCCTATGCCTATCCCCCTACGGTTGCCCCTGGCCCTTGCTCCACTGATCTCATTGAACATGGTTTCTGGGTGGGCTGGTGTGGAGACGTGCGCCCTGACATCACCGCGTCGTGAAAAAACACGGCCCGAGCTTCGTTCTGTCCATTTCGGGATCCCAAGGTCCTCACCGGCCGCGGGGGACCGTCAAAAAACGACCTGGGATGAAAGACTGTACCCGGGAAGGGGTCCAGACTTCTAGGGAGTCAGGTTGCGAACAAAAACACGACGTCGGATGTCTCGGAGGCGTTAGGGTTAAGTCGGGCGTGTCCCCCTACAGGGGGATCTTCGACGAAAACAATATATTCAAAAAATACTCCAAAATGGCAGAACATGTTCAAAGATTAGTCCCCAGACTATTTTCATACTATTTTTGAATATTCCCCCTGTACAGGAATAGGCCCGACTTAACGTTAGGGATAGGCGATTGGTCATGTCTGACCGGCTTCCAGCAACTGCACGCGCAGGGCCCTGCCCGAGGGGTTCGGTCAGGTTCCACGTGCTCGGCCCTGTCTGCTGGATGCCCCTGTAGCTGCACGGTGCCCCCGCCCGTAAGTAGAGGAAAGAAAACTGTGCACATACACCGATTCTGGCCAGGCCCAACCCTGAGCCCAGGATCGGTGCATACGCTCTCTTACCTTGGCCAGGAAGGTATGTGCACCGATCCTAGGTCAAGGATGGGCGTTGTCACGATCGGTGCATGTGCATAGTTCTCTTCGCCCGAGTACGCTGCCTTTGCCCGCTGGAGCCCCCGGAAACTGCAAAAATCTCTGGCGCGGGGCCCTGCGTCAAAAAATGACCCTGCCCGCTGGACTTCCTGGCAACTGCCTATGGCCCCACCCACGGGGCCACGCCCTCACTTGCCTCGGGGATCTTCTGACCCGGGTCACTCCAGACCCGGGTCAGTCGGACCTTGCAGGATCCTGCGAGATCCTGCAGGATCTTGCAGGTTCCTACACCCAAACCCGAATCAGTGCGCCCCGGTTTTGCAGGATTCTGCAATATCTGGCGCGCTGATCGACCCCCGTTTGCACTGACCCCCGTCTCTTGAGCCCCGAACCTGCCCCTGTCTGCTGGACAGGGGCCCGCTTTGTGTGCCCGCGGCGTCGGGGGTGGCCGTCGCCCGCAATGTCCCGCAGGCAGGGTCCCGCCAGTGGGCTTCTGCCATTCGGCTTGCGCCCTCGGTTGTCATCTTGACCCTGCCTTTGATGTTCGAGAACCGCGCTCGAATACCATTCAGCATGCTTGCCTTCTCACATTCACGGGCTCCGATGAGCCTTCCGAGCCGGAGGCTCTACTTGTCGGTCCAATGTCCGCTGATTTCGTTGGACACTCGGTTAATCGAAACAGACTTTGACTATCAGCATTCTCACAAGTCGGAATAGCCGGAGCTTCGTGCCCGTGTCCGAGAGCACGTTTTCGGGGTGCTGGGCCGCACCCGGTTTCTGGCGGGGCGGCACAGTCAGCGACACCGGCCGGAAAAACAAGCCCGAATCAAGATACCCACAAGGTCCCCGACACCACGCGTTTCGGGCGCGAGTGCTGGACTCTGGCCTCTTGCTGTTGCCGACGGTGGCCTCAAGAAACCTATGGCCATGCCCACTTCGACGCTGGCTGTTCGCCGCCCGTGCCGGCCCCAAGACCTCGCGCTCATCGGCCGGCATGGCGGGCAAGCCGTCACAAGCTTACTGGCCGCGGGTGGCGCGCTCGGCTGGCTGGCTCGATGGCAGAAAAAATTGAGCCGGGAACTTTGTGCGACGACCCCGCCAGACATGATGAGCATGGTACGTGAAGAACTCCCGCTATAAGAGATCTAGAGCACGGTTGTCGACGATGTCTGAGCTTCCTGAGGCGCCTCACTGCATCTGCGGGTCGCTGGGGCCATTGGGGGATAAAGCAGTTCCGCAGGGCAAATGCTGGCAGGCTGGCAGGCAGGCCGTTTTTCATTTGATTCACCTGCTGTGGCCACAATGAATACGTACGCCGGCCAAGCTGTACCAGACGTTCGCGATGGCAGCCAGATTGCTAGCCGGACTGCAGCAATTGCAGTGATAGCCATCACAGCAGTACTGGCAACGAGCGGCGGCCGCAGAGATGATGATGCCGTGTTGGAGGGAATCCCAGTCCCAAGCTAGCTGATGACGATCTGCTACTGCGTGTTAGAATGCCAGACCAAGCTGCGCCGCGCGAGGCTGTCAGCTGTGTCAGACGGCAGCCGCCCCCGCTCGTCCCCGTCGCCCTTCCGCCTCGTCCGCACAAGCTGCGCTCCTTTGAGGGTCGGCGCAGCCCGCCGTGGGGCCTTTGCAGTGCCAAGCTGTGCGGTTGGGGGCTGTCAGCTGTTCTGGACGGCCGGCCCACCCCCTTTGGCCACGACAGCGGCCGTGCACTGGACCGTCTTCGGGCTGTGTCCCAGGCGCCAAGGCCCCGCCGATGGCCTCAGATGGCTCTGAGATGGTTCCAACATGGCCCCAAGGATGGCCACTGTTGGCTGCGTTATGGCCCCCAGATGATCCAAGATGGATGCAAGAGGCTTCAAGCTTCAAGCTGGCTCCACGAAGGGCCAAAGAAAAGCAAAAATCGTCAGTCCAATTCGCTCATCACGCACCCTTTGGCTTCAGATGGCTCCAGGATGAGTTCAAGAGGCCTCCGAGGTGGTCAACCCCCCAAGCTGGCCACAAGTGCCTCCATGCTGGACTCCACGTCGGTCCAAAACGGCCTCGACCCACAGGGTATGTCGAGATGGCCCGAAGCGACCCCACGAGGGCCCAAGGGAAGCCCGAGAGCCCCAAGAGGGCCCCAAGACAACCCCGAGAGGGTGCAAGGCGGGCCTCAATGTTCGGCCACGTGCGTGCCGGGGCCGTACCCCATTCTTGACGCCGGCGCTGGTCGGAGGGGCAGGAGCACGGCGCACGAGGGCTTGAGGCCCCTACGGGCCCCCAGGTCTAGCAAAATCGGCGCGTTACTCCGAAACACCGACCGCAGCTTCTCCAATTTGACTCAGAGCGGCTAGATATTTTTCGCCGGCGCACGTACAAGATACACAGGACTTGCAGCTCGCTGCGACTCGCTGATCAGAGCTCTGGTCTCATACGCGGCGTGCGGGCAGAGGTTGGAAGCGCGCGGGCGCGCGCTCGCGCGGCGTGCTAAAGCGCAAGGGGAGGTTGGGAAGGTCGTGGGTTGGGGGGTCGTGGGCATGCTGCTGGGACAGGCATGGAAGTGGGCGTGACCCGCGTGGGCCCCCAGGCTGGGGGGATCGTACGTCGCGCCTGCTGGCGCGGCGTAGTGTCTCCGTTGCGCGACGTGGGTAAGGCTGCTGCGGTCACGGGGGTCTGTTGCACACCGTCGGACGGGGGTCAGGGGGGAGGGTTGGGCAGGCCACGGGGAGGGTGGAGGAGCCATCGGGGCCGACAGTGAGACGGGGAGGCGGAACACGAGAAAAGGAACTGAGACGTGGAGAGGCGTGGGTTGGGCAGGTCGCGGGGGGAAACGGGGACCCTCTGCTTGGTCTCCTCGTGGCCCTGTCGTGGGCCCTCTTGGGGCTTTTGGCGGCGAGGCTTCGTGGGCCGATTGGGGCGCTCTCGTGCTGTCGGAGTGCGTGCGGGGTGGGGGAGGGGCCTGAGATGTAGAGATGTGATGGCCGTCTGGCCAGGTGGAGGAGCCGTTGTGGGACGGGTGGGGGCCGGTTGGGGCCGACTTGGGGCCGTCGTGAGGGCCAGCTGGGGCCATGACGCTGGATGGAGGGAGCAGACGAAGTCGATGAAGGATGGAGCGAAATGGAGAGCAGAAAAACCACCCTCAGAATCAGCACCCCGACCAGCGAAGGCGTCTAGTAAACGCACCCAAGGAAGGAGTCGAACAGGGCAGGGCTGTTAGTAAACGCCCAGGGCCGTTTTGTAAACGCCAACTATTGGTCGGGATGGTTTTTTCCTCCCTTGACAGTGGAAGCGAGGGAGCGTGTGGGTGACCGCAGGCGCCGAATGGTTTGGAGCCGTCCTCAGACCATCTTGAGGGCTAGCGGGCCCTCTTGAGGCCATCCGGCGGAGTGTAACGGGCAGTGTCTGCTGGTTGGGATGTTTCAGAGCCTTCCTCGGGCCGTCGTGGAAACCAGTTCGGGCCCTCACGGGGCCATCTTTGAGCGTCTGGCGGCCCACCATTCTTGGATCGTCCAGACCTGTTGCCAGAGGCGTGGAGGAGAAGGGAGGCCGCGGAGCGGCCCAGGGAGAGCCAAAGGGGTTTGGTGGCCCCAGACTGGCCCAGGAGAGTCCCAACAATCTATTGGCCCCAGTTTCCCAGGCGCGGCGGCCGAAGTGCGCGGCGGCGCGACTGGACCATGCTGCAGATGCAACTGGAGACGATGATGCTCATGCTGACGACAGTGGTGATGACGGTAATGGATGTCATGATCTGGACGATTCAAGACAACGCTGACTGGTAATGACGACGAACGTGGCGCTATTATGCTCACGCAATACAACTAAGATCACAGTGACGGCGACGATGCCGATGACGGCCACACAGCCTGTAACATTACCTGCCAGGCAAAGCGACGACGCCGATGACAATTCTAAAAGTGATGCGACGACGACAACAAACATAACGACGCCGACGATGAACCAGGAGAGCGCACCGTGACTCTCGGAAATGGAAGTACCGCGTCAGCCTGGGCAGCCCATGGGGGAACCATCGCGAGGTTGCACGTCCCCTGTGGGAGGGCGACAGTAGGCAGCGGCCCCGGGCGCTCAGCTGAAGTCTCCCGAGCCATACTCGCCCACGTCCCCGAGCTTGCCCGCGTGCTTCATGTTCTGGCTGTAGGTGGTGCCCGCCGCCCAGGCCTCGCACTTGCACGCCGGGAACTTGGTCTGGACCTCCTGGCACTTCTCCATGCACCACTGCAGGTCGCACTCCGTGCACATCCAAGAGCCACACATGATGACGTCGAAGCGGCCCTGCTCACCGCAGCTCTCCTCGGAGCTGACGCGAGCGCAACCCCGCCCAATCGCAGCAGCAATGGCCAGAGCGTACACCGCCATTGGACCCTTCATTGTTTCACAGGCGGGGGGTTGTCACAATGAGACCTAGCGGCTCTTCCCAACGGCGGCACATTATGATCATGATCGCCATAATCACCATGAGGCTCACGATGGCGACGACGCGCGCGCTGCTCGCGATGCCCCTACTACAATGAACGGTCATACTTAGAATGGCAAGCTGACGCAGATGCTGGCGGCACTGGCAATGGCTCACTACCTGGGAAGAAAAAACGCTCCCTATCCTCTCCCCCTCCCCCGCCGTCCCCCTCCCCCCTCTCAATTTGTCTGTTTGCCTGCGCTGTGCTGAATGCGCCGCTGAAAAATGAAACACAATTGCGAACAAGTCACGGCCCCCACATTACGGGAACTCTCTGCCGACACATCTTCCGTCAGCCTTGACCTGCTTTGGAGATGTCTTGGCCTGGCCTTATGCGCAGAGTGGCGCGCGCCAGCACGTTGACTTTATCTAGCAGAAAAATGTTCCTCTTCATGCAAACGTGACCAACTTGTCAACACCCATCCATCGCGCTGGCTGGGCTGCCAGCTCAAGTGCGCAACCAAGCCAGCACCTCCATTCACCCCTCGGTGATCCTCAGAACGTGTATTAGCGCCAACTTTCTTGTCCATCGAAGCCCTTCAATACGATGCAGATGGTGCCACGATGGCCGACACAGGCGGGAACGGGGTCAACACCCATTGGGCTAACACACGTCGCGACGATCATCGAACCTTTCCTTTGCGACACGGCCGGCAGCAGGCCTAGGCGGCCGCGCACGCGGGGTGGGTGCCCCCCCTGCTCTCGCGCCGCAAGCGCCCTGCCAGCGGGGCCAGATGGCCAGATCCCAACGCGCTGGGCTGCACGATGCTGTGCGCCCTTGCATGGCGGCGGTCCCCGCCAGCAAGGCCCCGGTGAATACACCCGAGGCGCCGCAAGCGGGGGCCCAACCGTGGTGCACGGGCGCTCCAGCCGCCCGCGCCCGGGCCCTGGCGAACTAACACGCCCGAGAAATCGCGTACGGGGGCCAGTCGCGGCGTGCACAGGTGCTCCAGCCGCCCGCCCGCAGCCGGGTGCCGCGCCGCCTGGCGGCGGCGGCGGCCCCTGCCGAGGCAGCCTGAGCTGGACCTCCAGGGCAGACGGGGCCTGCCGGCCCCGCGAGGGGTGCGTAGGTCGGGCCGATCCCTGCCTTGGGAGGCCCAGGGTAGCCTGGGATAGGTTTGACCCAAGGCCCTAGCGTAGCCTCGGGAATGCCCGGGCACGTCTAGACAGTGCCGCTCTGGAGCTGCGCACAAGCCTGCGAAGCGCTGCGCAGGAGCTGCGCAGATACTTCTGGCCCACGCGTTGGGGACGAGTCGGAGAGCGCTTGCGGGACACGCCACAATCTCCGGCAACTCGCTGCGAGGCTCCCTGCCCGGCAGCCGTGGAAGAGGGCCTGGGTAGGCCCGGGGAAGGCCTAGGACGGCCCAGCTGGGCGCTGGTCCGACTGCCCCGCATGGCCTGCCGCGGGGGGGCTGCCTCCGCGGAGCCGCCGCGCCGCCGCCGGCGCCCGAGGCGCCGCGCCGACCACGGTGGTCGAGAGACGGCACTGGCGGTGCCTCCTTGCTATTGCCGCCATTGCCTACTTCGCCTGCTCCCTCAGGCCACGGCTCGTGGCGCCTCACTCGGGCATGCCTCCGTCCAAAGGCGGTGCTGGCTGTGCCTGTTGCTGACGGCTCTCCAATACTCCCCACATCGGGCTTCAACGGCGTATTGCTCGCCAGTCAGCGTCCGGGCCATGTATGCGATACTCGGTGACATCCTCTATCTTTTCGGGGATGAAATGAGACCTTCGTAGGACGCATACGGTTTACGGCACCTTGGGGTGCAGCGTGCGTCCATCATGGCTTCGACACCAATTCAGCATGACAGTCTTGGTTGCTTCATTCAGCCGCTCCAGTGCCAGGCCGTTTCTGTTTGGTGCGGTGGTCTCATGAGCGTGTACTGTGGGAACGAAAGCTGACCTGCGTTGAACACACGTGGCTAGCCGCTCCCGGTGGCACAGCGTGAGTGCAGCGTGCCTGTCTATATTCGCCGATTCGCCTGATTCATACTGGGCGTCGTCGCTTAGGCTTTGCCGTCATCGTAACAAGTTGGTTGCGCATGAACTCGGTACTGAGCGGGTTGCCGCATTTCATGTATGTGCCAGCATGGACCCCAAACAGTGGATACTTGCACTCCAGATGAGCAACGCATGTGGCGCAGTATATGTAAGTGGTGCAGTATCCGTGGTGCACCCTCAGGGCACATTGGGTAACCGCAGGGTGAACACAATACGGCACGAAGGTAGGAAGGGCGTATCGAAACAGCCAGACGGCACGAGGGAGGGACACTTAGAGCACCAAGGCGGCGTCGGCGAGTCGCAACAGCCATAGGGCACAATAGAAAAGCGACCAGTGGGCACCAAGGCGGCGACAGCGAATCGCAACAGCCATAGGGCACGATAGGAAGCGACCCTCGGGCACCAAGGCGGCGACAGAGCGAATCGTAACCGCCTTCGGAAACCGAGGCGGCCATAGGGCACCACGGCGGTGACCAGAAAACACCAAGGCGGCAGCCGTAGGCACCAAGGCGGCGACGGCGAATCACAACAGCCACTGGGCGGGCACCGAGGCGGCCAGGCGGTGACCCTCGGGCACCAAGGAGGCGACAGAACGAATCGCAACAACCGTACAATGGAAACCCATGCCAAGAAACACCCTGCTTGTCTCCAGGGTGCCCTGGATTTCTTGGGTTTCGGTGGTTTTGCGATGGATAGCGTGGATTCCCAACACCAGAAATCAATGAATGCCCTAGGGTCTCGGGGTTGGGCTTCTTGTGGAAGGCTTCCTGTGGTCGAGCTCCTACTGTAGGGCACGAGCTTGAATCGCAACAACTGAGGCAGCAGGGGCCCCGAACCCGCGACGGCGCAGAGACACAACCAGGGCAAGCGGGGCCCCTGGGCGGCGACCACAGGGCATCACCCACACGTCGGTCGGCAGCACTCGGCAAACACATGAAGTAGTACGGCGGATAAAGTGGTTTGGGCCCAAGCCCTCCCAGAGAATTTGAACACGCATCAAGACCATGCCGCTTCTTGAAGGAGGACTTCACCATCAGCCATCAATCAGCCATCAAGCGCCGTGGGACATCAACCATAAGGGCCGCGGCGAATCGAAGCAACCACCAAGGCCAGGCCAACGGCGATGCTGCTAGATGGCGATGTTGGGAACCAAGCTGTTGGAAATCACGAACCACACTTTCCTACACTTCCAATCTGAGAATGGATCGAGCGAACACGACACAGCGAATTGTAGGAAAGCGCGAGCCACGAGTTCCCACACTGCCGATACCTGCATCGCTGGTACCAACGGAAACAAGGCAGGCAGCCCCTGAGCTGGCGACGACCAATCACAGCAGCCAGGGCAAACGGGACCAAGGATCCTCAGGGCAACGTGCATGGGCTTCCAGCCATAGAAATCGATCAGACAACACACATCGCACGTAGGGCACCACGGTGACGACGGCGAATCGCAGCACTCAAGGCGAGCGGGACCCGGGACCGTCTACGGCGAATCGCATCCATCGACGCCAATACCTTCCGACACAGGGCGCATGACTGTATGCTGTTGCCTGCTGCCTCTCCCTCTCGCTCCTCCTCGTCCCAACCCACCCCCGCAAAACTCCCTCCGACGAGGGGGAGAAGGAGGAGAAGGAGGAGGAGCAGGAGGAGAAGGAGGAGGAGGAGGAGGAGGGGAAGGAGCAGGAGGAGGAGGAGCCCCACACCCGTTAGCGCAGCAGAGAGTGCACTCCATGATGACGAAACGCACAACAGCGGGCGCGGCCTCGAACTGCTTGGAGTGCGACAGCCCGATCCTGCCCACCCCGCCTGCGGCACTGATTGAAGGCAGAAAATAAAATGTCAATGGCGACAGCACAGGCATGCATGAACTCACTCGTTTTAGGGGTGTGCTCAAGAGACGGCCAGAGATGGGGGAGAAAATTGAGAGGCGCAACATACCCCCACTCCGGTGGGAGCGAGGGGAGGAGCTCCCTCAGGAGGGGGACCACAACAGGACAGGAGACGTAGTGAGAGATATTGTCGGCCCCTAAATTGCAGCACCCGAAAACACAAGGCCCAGTGGCCTGTCTGAAACGCTTCGTAGTTGGCCAAGCATTGAACACGGTTTTTAGAAGGGATGTAATAATAAAACTGGGCAGCCTCCTCGCTAGAATATTAAGCCTCAGAACCGTCAGTTGCGCATCTTGGGGCGTAGCACGTGGTAGCCAATAGCGAAGACGAGCAAGGACAAGATGATTGATGAAGTGATGGGGCTGACGTCGAACAATAAATTTCGCAATCATACTCTGCAGCTTTTTCGGGGGCTCGTGGGTCGGGGCATCGGGGATTCTGATGCACTGGCTATACTCGATAAGCATGTTCCAGAAGATAGAATTCAGGAAGTGCGGGCTCCACTTATACGTTAGGGTCCTGCTGTCGTCTTCCTGGGCAGCATTATACATGGAGCGCATAGCATGAAACTCCCCCGAGCGGATGGCCCAGCGTAGCATGGACGCACGACAAAGGGTTTCCATAGAGCGACACTGCACAGGAAGACCTAATTCTTTGAGGTGGAACATGGCCTTGGGAGGAAAAGCATGCCGCGGCGCTCGAGGAAGCTTCTGGTGCGCCTCTCGTTCTGCACGAACGAGTTCCTTCGACGGCAGGTAGAACTGCCCAACCATGCGATGTGACAGGGGCGACGTAGGTGTTGAAAGCCTGCACGGACTGGATGAAACTCAGCCCCAGGCACCGCGCGCCCTCTGTCCTGCTCCTAATTTTCACTGCAACAGGCTGCCAGGCGTCAAGAAGACCACGCTCGCCGACCTGAACTCCCAGGAGTTTGCCAAACCTCTGAATCTGATAACGGGAAACATCAAGCCCCCGACCACGGAAGGCCTCCAGGACATCCTTTTTCTCCTCCAGATTCAAAACAACAATGACACATGTCTTACAGTTAAGCGTGAGCCCAGTTACTTTACCTGACATCACAAGCCTTACCAATACCTGCGGCAGGGTCTTGCAGAGGTTGCGTGCGACTAAGTAAATGTCATCGGCGAAGGCGCCGATCTGAAATACGAGACCCTCCTGCAGCTGAATTACGTAGCGGAGCACTGGATCCAGCACAAGTGCAAAGAGCGCACCACT